GGAGTTAATTGTTTCATCATCATCATCAAAATCTCATAAAGGTTAGTAGAACTGGATTATAACATACAAGAAATATAATGGGGTTTAACGTCCTACTTTTCTGCTCCGACTGGGCTAATGAAGACGAGTATACGACATACAGTGTGCTATGAGGGAAATTTTGTCTGGGCAGCGGCACTATGGCCTGCACTTCGAATTCCAACTGCCAAGGGATCTTATACGTGCACACCAATGTATACACTGAACCTCGGTTTTTCGTCCCATTTGAACTACTAGACACCACATTAATACAGAAGAAGGAAGCTGTCACTGTAACCTTGGTATCATTTAATCTTGTGTATCTAGCATTAATTTCTTTCACATTCGTTTAATGTCAAATCTTTGTTTTAAAAATTTGTAAAAATCGTTTAAAATCACCCAAAATCATCTAATTTGTACATGTGTCCAGTTTAAAGCTGACTATTCAATTTGTTAATGAGTGGTTTAGATTCCTCGCTTGTGTGTGACAAGGAGTAGGGTCATCTGCCGAATACCATGCATTTTCTCTAGGTCCTCCGGGTTTCTTCACACTGCTAAAGACCCCTATGTGTAAGCGAATTATTGAAATAAAATTGAACAATATATTAGTCCCGATCTCTCCCTCTCTCTCTTTCTCTCCCTCCCTTTCTCTCCCTCACGAGACAAACTGTGGGGTCCGAAGTGAAACCAGGGTTATCCGTGGACAACCCTGTTGAATTGTAAGTCGCTTGGTGAATTAGTACAAAACTTTGACAAAATAAAACCATAAGTTAGTCCCAAAGAGGACAAGTGGAAGGTAAACTCTATTTCTCTCTCTCTCTCCAATATTCATTAAAACCAGGTATTTCTCTTATTTCAGAAAAGAATAGAAAAAGACATTTACCAGGTCAAGCAAACATTCAGGTAATTTTCCTTATGATGAAACAGAACAACATGTACTTAAAGTAGATTTTTCTTGGTAAACTCAATAATGTTTTTATACGCCCACATTTTCATGTGGACGTAATATGCCGTCACCCCTGTCTGTCAATTGAAATATAGGTCTATCTCCCAAAGATCTTGGTTCCTTTCGATATTGGCATATATCACACCATAACTTCATGAATTATGGCCCCTGATGTACGTAAATCATGTTTTTAGCCTGTAGACACTCTAGAGGTCACAATTGTCATCTGATTTTGATGAAACTTGACATACATGTTTAAAACTCAAAGATCTTGGTTCCTTTCGATATTTGCGCATATCGGATCATAACTTCCTGAAATATGGCCCCTGATTGTACAAAAAATCAAATTTTTAGCTTGTACACCCTCTAAAGGTGACGGTTTCTATTCAATTTTAAGAAAACGTTTGAATATATCACTGTTACACCTTAATGAAGGTTGTGTTCGACTTTAGTAAAAATCTGACTGAAACTGCTGGGCAAAACGGCCGCTCCTTGTACACAAAAAGTGTAAAAGTATGTAATGCCAATGTTGTGGACACTCTAGAGGTGATAATTTTTATCCGATTTTGATGAAACTTGAAATGTATGTTTATATAGATATTCACGCCCCGGAGCTTGTTCTCTGAGAATGTTCCTCGGTGTTGCTGGATAGAGGACCCCTGTCTGTCCATGTAGTTGTTGGCATGCACGTAAAACTACGCTTGAAAGTGGGAATAATTCGATATAAAGGCGTATATATAATGTATATATATATATTAAACTTGGACACATACATTATTAATATCTGAAGACGCCCTTAAAAGGATACATTATTAATATCTGAAGACGCCCATAGAAGGCAGACAGCTAGCTTATATGATTTAATGTATGTCAGAATGAAGTAAAGTGGTGAATTTTTTACCTGGACGTATTTTTTAATTACTTATGTATATATTAATTTACAGGAAGTAAATGAATACGATGCATCAGATCCGGATTATGCTGTTTGGCTTCCCCCAGAAGGTTAGTAAATCATTGGTTACAATCCTTAATACCTGCCCATCAATTCCAATCCTTAATACCTGCCCAGGGGGTTGGATGGCCGAATGGTTAGAATGTGCGCGCTGTATCATGAGGCCTGTCATTGAGTCAACTGGCGTGGTTTTGAATCCCCGGTTGTACGTGACAAAGAGTAGGGTCGTCTGTCCAAACTCGTTGGTTTTCTCTGGGTCCTCCTGTTTCCTCCCACTGCTAAAGACCCCTACGCACAAGCGAATTATTGAAATAGAATTAAACCATATGTTAGTCCCGAAATGACCTAGTTTGTGTCGAGTGGACGTTAAACCCCATTTCTCTCTCTAATACCTGTAAAATAACTACAAGTATAAAATGACAAGATAAAACATACAGAATACACAGACTTCAACTCATTAGACAAAAAACTGTGGTTCTATGTACACATTGGCTTTACATATAAAAACTGTTTCCATATACACATTGGCTTACATATAAAAACTGTGGTTCTGTGTACACATTGGCTTACATATAAAAGAAACCTAAGAATTGAAGTTGGAAACAAAAATTCCATCACAGAACACGGTTTAAGATCCTATTTTTCTACACCAACTGAGACAATAAAGACAGGTACACGCCATGCAATGTTCTATGAGGGAAATTTTGCGGCACTACGGCCAATGTATACACAGATCCATGATTTTTTGTCACATCTGAATGACTTGTGATGCCCTCTGTCCTGCATCAGTGTTTAAGGTGGCCCTCAGTGCGATTCAGATCCTTGAGGCCCTGATTCTACAATACCAATCCATGCAGCCTATGACTGTCCAGTGCTCCATCCATGAAAATAATAGTTCAATTGATAACAGTATATATATAGCTGTGTGTTTATTTTCTATTTACAGGTCAGAGTGGAGATGGAAAGACTCATCTTAATGATAAATATGGATATTAAACAGACTCTCTCACTCTTCTGTATAAATTATGTATATTAAACAGACTCTCTCACTCTTCTGTATAAATTATGCATAAAATGATATAAACCCAATAAACTGAAAAGCCATTTAATTTTTGTTATGTACAATTATTTTCATCGACAGTACTGCATTGTGCTAGGGGATTGGATGGCTGAATGGTTAGTGTGTATGGGTTGTATCATAAGGTCTGTCATTGAGTCAGCTGGAGTGGTTTCAATTCTGGGGTTGTACTTGACCAAAGTAGGGTCGCCTGTCCATCCTCGTGGGTTTTCTCCGGGTCCTCCGGTTTCCTCCCACTGCTTAAGACTATTACAGGCAAGCGAATTATAGAAATAAAATTGAACCATGTGTTAGTCCTAAAATGACCTAGTTTGTGTCAAGTGGACTTTAAACCCCATTTCTCTCTTTGCATTCTACTTTTGACAATGTCTCCAAATTTTGCTCCCACACTGCCGTTTCCACTTCAGTCATCATCGATTTCCAGCCGTCACAGAGTCGTATACATGCACACCAATGAGTACATGGGTGGCCCATCACAAGAACTAGATCATAGACAAATGGAAACCATTCGTTTTTTTCAATATATTGTATATTATGTAATTTATTTGTAACCGGGAGAGAGGTCTATATAGGCCTTGCCTGTTCCCCAATCCCCTCAGTTCCTGAATAAATATTGTTTAGAAAAAAAAAAATGGAAACCAGACTGGAATATACTAATACTGGGATTGAGCCACTTGCTAAAACATGAAGGAGGCATGGTGGCTAAGTGGGTAAGATGCTGGGTCTCTAGCCAGGAGGTTGCGTGTTCGATCCCTGCATTGGCTGAGAAAGTTTATCAGGATTTTCCGGCGTGGTTTCCCTTTGTCAGTGGTGTAGGATGGAGGGTCTGACAAGGACTGCAGTCTAGTCGATCAGATGGTATGAAAAACCAAGGACCTATGTTTACAGTGGCGTGCACGTAAAAGATCCCTTGGCAGTTGGAATTCGATATAACAGTAGGCAATAGTGCTGCTGTCCGGGCAACATTCTCCTCATAGCACACTGTATGGTGTATGCTCGCCTTCATTAGCCCGGTCGGAGCGGAACAGTAGGACGTTAAACACCATTTCATTTCATTTCGCTAAAACATCAAACCTCTTCACTGTCCCGAATGGTTAGCGTGCATGCTGTATTATAAGGTCTGTCATTGAGTCAACTGGCATGGTTTCGATTTTCTGGTTGTACATGACAAGGAGTAGGGTCGCCTGTCCAACCTTGTGGGTTTTCTCTGGGGCCTCAGATTTCCTCCCACTGCTAAAGACCCCTACGTGCAAGCAAATTATTGAAATAAAATTGAACCATGTTAGTCGCGAAATGACTTAGTATGTGTCGAGTGGACATTAAACCCCATTGCTCTCCCTCGCTTCGATGATCTGATTTGCAGATCTACCATTGGATCACCATTGGGGGTAAAAGTGCCCTCCCCTCCCCCCCCCCCCCCGCGCCGCCACTGCGTGGGACATGTCCAGCTTGATGTAAAATATTGTCAATTTTGCTTACTAAGGCCCGATGTGATTTGCGCTAGGCTTCGCTATGTGGAACTATATAGCACCATCTCTTTTCTCGAAACACGGAGGGTTGAGAGGTGAGGTTTGTTATCTACATCACATTATCTTTATTCACCATTTTTGTACTGATATTCCTTTTAGAGATTCAAAATCTCGGAAATGTGACCAGGTGGTTTAAATTAATATTCCCAATAAAATAACAGAATTGGTATAAGACATCTACCTTTCATATATTAACTCAAAAACCCAAAAATGAATGTGAATTTAGAAATGTGCGACCAAATACAAGGGGCGATAATTTCGTGCGTCAAGGGAAACAACTCCGTTTTAATGTACCGGAAGTGAAAGTCGATTGTACGTGGAGTGATATTTGTTTTTATGGTTTATTTATTTGGGAAAATATTTTAGTGGTTTATATATAACTTGAAACAAAATGAATGCAAATGATTACAATGGATGAATTGTATTTGGTTCATTAGTCTAATACGTTAGAATGAACGCGTGAACTACATGTTGCCATGGTTGCGGATGTGTCATAAACAGGTGTTGTTTGCCCCGGTTCCCGTTTGTAAACAGTGAAGTGGGACGTTTAAGTTTTCTTTTATGGCAAAATCTAATTAGACAGAAACAATTAGGCGGTCGATAGAGAGAAGAAAATGGAAAGCGCATCCGAAGAAAGTCCGGGCTTAGTTCCAACCGATTTAGATACGACGGAAGGGGCTGACGTAACAAATGACAGCAGCGAATTGACTGCTGATATTGGGGAAGATCAAGAGGGCAGCTCTGAAAATGTCGAGGGTGAAGAAGAATTATCACCAGATGCGGAAGCTTTAAAAGAAGAATTAGCTAAAATAGTTGTCCATTCTCCTGCTATAGAAAAGTAATTTTTTTTTTAGAGTAACTAGATCTAAACCTCTTTGAATGTTTGATCTGATCCAAATGCGGGGACAAACTTCAATTATTTTCGCCTTCGGGAAAGATTTATAGGAAGACTGCATGTTCAGGAAATTTATTTTGATTTTGTGTCTACTACAGAACATGAAATTAGTTATATCTCAACGCTGGTTTTACTAATTTAGCTACCTGTACCGTATTATTATCATTGAAGACTCAGTTTGATGATGTTGCAAAAATTAGACTTTCTTCTATATTCACTCTAACACTTGTATGTGACAAGGAGTAGGGGTTTTCCGCCTAAACTTGTGGACTTTTCTCCAGCTAATAAACGCAAGCGAATTATTGATATAAAAGTGGGGGGTTGGATGGTCGAATGGTTTTCTCCGGGTCCTCCCACTGCTAAAGACCCCTACGCGCAAGTGAATTATTAAAATAAAATTGAACCATATGTTAGTCCCAGAATGATCTAGTTTGTGTCGAGTGGATGTTACCCCCCCCCCATCTCTCTATCTCTCTCTGACATAAAATTGTGTGGTATGTTAGCCTCATGATGACTTAGTTTGCATAGCTCTCTCTCACATCATTATTTTTGTCAAATGTTAAATTATACTGACTTAACTTCAATCAATTTTTTTATATTTTATTTTAGGATAGAAGAAAAATTTGATCCAGCTGAATTTCCTGATTCTTATAAAAACAATTTACCAAAAGAGTTACTGATTTTACAATATTCTGATAATTTTCGTCGGCAATATGTCCACCTGTACCGAGATAGAAAACCTTTATTTTTAAACCCAGTAAATGAGTGTGGAGTCGAGGTAAATATGTGTTTTTCAAATCGCCATGTTAATGGATTTTTAAATGAAACAAATGTAAATTAGATTGGGCTTTGAGCAGACTTTTTTGTTTAGAGTTTTAGCACATCATAAGAATCCTATTATACTATTCAAAAAAAGTAGGGGATATTTGATTTTGGGGGCATAATACTAAAATATGCAAATGACTACGAAAAAAGTCACTATAGAACCTAACAGAAGAAACATTTCCAGTTACATGTGACGCCCAAACGCACCAATAGCTACCGCATGGAATGCAGGTGATGCTTGGGATCATCATGGGGGTCCAACCCAAGATTTGCACGACTCTGACTTTGAATGTTACAGTCATTGTGGCATTGAATTCCAGGGTGGAAACATCAGTTTAATTGTTTTAGTGACCAGAAAACAAATTTTGATATGCATCGGCTTGCCCAAAATGAAAGGTTACGTGCCCTTGGCATGCTACAGATCGGCACAACACAGGCGGTTGTGGCGCAGACGATGAATGTTTCTCAGTCTGTCATAAGCAGGCTATGGTCCAGATACCGTGATACACAATCTGTACAGGACAGACCACGCTCAGGTCGACCAAGGGCGACAACTCAAGCCCAGGATCGATTTATCCGTACCTTGGCCTTGAGAAATCGTGTCATCACAGCAAATCAGATCAGCGCTCGTCTTCAAACAGACACTGGTGGCCAGACGATTCGGAATCGACTGCATAGGGGTCACCTTCGCGCCCGACGTCCTCGCGTGATCCCTTGTTTGAGAGATCATCACATTCAGGCAAGACGTCGTTGGTGTAGGGATCGTCAACACTGGGATAATCGACGCTGGAGCAATGTGATGTTTTCAGATGAGTCAAGGTTCACTGTTGATTTTTTGGACAGACGTAGGAGGGTGTGGCGTCGTCGAAACGAGCGCTTCCAAGACGTTAACGTCATCAGACATGATCGATTTGGGGGTGGTTCTGTTATGGTGTGGGGAGGCATCACTGTTGCTGGAAGAACGGCTTTACATGTTGTTGCAGGGCGTGTTACAGGCCAGTACTACCGGGACAACATCTTGGCAGTCCATGTTGTGCCGTTCGCACGACGTCATGGCCGCCGTTTCATCTTCCAGGATGACAACGCAAGATGTCACAGGGCCAGGATCGTTACAGGTTACCTCCAACAACAGAACATCACCACATTACCTTGGCCAGCACTGAGTCCCGACCTCTCCCCCATCGAGCATGTCTGGGACATGCTTGGACAGAGGTTACGTCAACGTCAACAACGTCCTGCCAATGTCCAAGAACTTGCTGCTGCGTTGGAACAGGAATGGGACAATCTGGACCAAAATGACCTTAGACGTCTCATTAGGAGTATGCCACGTCGGATCAATGCTTGTTTGGCAAACAGAGGAGGATTTACCCGTTACTGACTTGGTTGTGATGCTGTGGTAACTTTGCTGTTTGACCCCGGGTATCATTTTACCCTTATAATGGTCAGTCTGTGCCTTACTTAGTCTAACGATCATTTGGAATAAATCGATGAATGTGAACTTCATTTCATTTTGTCATTTGTTTCTTCGTCAGTTTCATTAGGTGACTTTAATAACACTTAAAAATCAAAACCCCTACTTTTTTTGAATAGTATATAACAAAAGAGAATTGGGGTATGACCCTATTTCGACAGGCCAAGTCTATGCTATATATACATCTCACAGATGTTTGTAAGCTACAGGGGGGGGGGGGGGTAGGTTGTGGATGGCTGAATGGTGTACACGTATCATAAGGTCTGTGATTGAGTCAACTGGCAAGGTTTCTATTCCCCAGTTGTATGTGACAAGGAATAGTGTCGCCTGTCAAACTTCGTTTTTTTTCTCCGGGTCCTCCGGAAAAACGAATACTCAATCAACAAAGACACATAACTGAAGAATAACTCAGGCCTACCTGTCCAATTAATACAACAGACAATCTCACCTTGGTCCACAAAAGAGAGACACATACTAGTTGCCTCCCACTTCCAATTTCCAAGGCATAGTCGAAACCTTGACCCTGATATAATTAAACTATTTGGTACTAATTCGTACCTAATTGATGATTAAATCATTGATGATTAAATCGAAAAATGGATAATCAAGACTATGTTTTTCATCGTACCGACATTAGTAATGATGTCTGAGGCTAGGCCTAAAATTCAATCGCTAATGTCTAGATTAAGAGTGGAGCAATTTGAAATTTTCAGCATTATCTAGTTTTTAACTATTATAGTGAGAACTGCCAGCTCTTTATCTAATCTCCCATAATGTATCTTTAAGTCAGGAATATTTATATATTGCAATAAAAACTTTAATAAGAATCAGAATAATTATGTTTTCCTGGTAAAAAGTATTAATGTTATGTTTTCCCGTTAAAAGGTATTAATGGTATGACTCATTTAGAATCATTTTTATTTTCAGAAATTTGTTTGTACGACTATAAATCCTACTCAGCTACCATATAAGGAATTATATGATTGGGATACGGCAGCTGAGTTTGTGGCCGATTATTTAGATTTTGAAACCTTGGATCCACCATATGAACTCGTAAGAAACAATTTTTTCTTTTTTTTAAATTTAATATTAAAATAGATACTTCATGAAATTTTTGGGAAAATTTCGTGGCCGAATGGTTTAATGTGTGCGTGTTAGACCATAAGATCTGTCATTGAGTCAAGTGGCGTGGATTTGATTGTGTGACCAGGAGTAGTGTCACATGTCCAACCTCGTTGGTTTTCCTCCGGTCCCACTGCTAAAGACTCCTATGCGCAAGCGAATTTTTGAATTAAAATTGAACCGTAGTTAGTCCCAAAATGATTGTGTCGAGTGGACGGACGTTAAACCCCATTTCTCATGAATAGAGGTACATGTATTATGGGTAAACCTGATATTGTTTATTTGTTATATATGCTCAGTTTGCAGTATATTTGATTGTCGACAAAGCTGTAATTCTAAAAAAAAACATGCATCATATTTAATCCGCAACCATAGAATTGAAAGAGGGCGGTGTGTGGATGGCTGAATGGTTAGCGCAGGCATGTTTTATCATAAGGTCTGTCATTAAGTCAACTGGCATGGTTTTGATTCCTCCAGTTGTACATGACATTGAGTAGAATTGCCTGTCCAACCTCGTGGGTTTTCTCCAGGTCCTCCGGTTTCCTCCCACTGCTAAAGACCCCTACACGCACGCATATTATTGAAATAAAATTGAACCATATATGTTAGTCCCGAAATGACCTAGTTTGTGTCTAGTGGATGTTAAACCCCAATTCTCTATCTCCTTTTCGTTGATTGTCATTTCCAAACATGTTTGTCCCGAAATGACCTATTTTTTGTTGAGTGGATGTTAAATTCCATTTCACACTCCTATATCAAACATTTGGCGGAGAAAGTATCAGGATGGATGGGTTCGCCTTGTCAGTGGCGCAGGACGAAGGGCCTGACAAGAACAGCTGCCTCGTTCAGATGGGACGAAAAACCGAGGACCTGTGCATGCATTGGCGACCACGTAAAAGATCTCTTGGCAGCTGGAATTTGATATAAGAGAAGGTCATAGTGCCACTGCCCGGGCAAAACTTCCCTCATAGCACTCTGTATGGCATATGCCCGTCTTCATTAGCTCAGTTGGAGCCGAACATTAGAACGTTAAACCCCATTTCATTTCATTTTATATTACAGCCCACCCGGTTGTTATCACCCACCACCGTGTTAAAACGACAGAAGGGAAACTGTTTCGAGTACAGCACTTTATTGTGTTCCTTCTTGCTGTCAGCTGGATATGATGCCTACGTTGTCAATGGTTACGCTACAAAAGAAACTTGTCTTGCTGATGAAACGAGAGAAATTTGTCCGCTACTTACAAAGAAAGAACAGGTTAGTTGGATATTGGTTGATGTTCGAAAGTATATAAAAAACAAAACAAAATACAAATCGTTAAAGATACATTATGGGAGATTAGATAGAGAGCTGACAGTTTTCACTATAATAGATAAACACTAGATAATGTAAAGGGAATTTGCTGAAAATTTCAGTCAAATTGATCCACTCTGAACCGAAATTTTACTGATTGAATTTTCGGCCTAGCCTCGATCATCATTACTGATGTTGGTACGATAAAAAACATAGTCTTGATTAAATCCATTTCATGATTAAATCATGAATGAAAGTGGAGCAGCAAATGGGGTCCTAATCCAGTAAACATCGCAGGCTAGCGTTGACATCAAGAGTTGATTATGGTTTGGATAAGTTAATTAATGTCTAATTAATAATTAAGATACCATTTCAGGCCTAAAGAAAGACCTGCAATAGGCAGATTTAGCTCTTGTATAATGTATGTTTAATTTTAATCCGATTGATAAAATTGATGTTTATATTTTTTCTCTCAGAAAGTGGAAGAAGCAAAAAAGAAAGAATTAAAGAAATATACGGTGAAACCTCCACGAGATCTACAGAGTAAGTTTGAAATGAAAATGGAGCAAAGAAAAATTGCTGCCAAAGAAGCGGAAGAAGCTAAACGACGCCAGGAGGAGATAGAAAGGCAATTAGTAAGTTTTAAATTAGATGGAGTTATCTCTCTTTATGTTAAGCTTCCCTCAGTTGAATCATCATTGGTGAACGGGGTTGAGTGGTAGAGTTGTCATAAGGGACATGTCTGACGAACATGGGGACATGTCTGATGAACATGTGGACAGGTCTCGCAAACATAGGGTCATGTCTCCCGAACATAGATTCATGTCTCACAAATATAGGGTCAGGGTCATGTCTCCCGAACATAGGGACATGCATGATGAATATATTGAAAATTTCTCTCTCTCTTTGAATGAATACATGCATTTTCTGAAAATTTGCGGCTTGGTCAGCCATATTAGCGTTTAAAACAAATAAAGCGTGCATTGTCCAATTCACTTAATACCTAAGCCATCCAACGATCTAGAGCGCTTATGGGCTTGTCATATGAATAAATGTCTAAAGGATGATTTATATAACAGCAGCTGTTTATCTATAGTACATAAAACGGTATATTAATTACTGCTCCTTATTAAACATACATTATGCAAGAGCTAAATCTGCCTATTGCAGGTCTTTTTGTAGGCCTGAAATTTTATATAAATTATTAATTAGAAATTTATTAACTTATCCAGCCCATAATCAACTCTCAATGCCATCACTAGCTTGCGATATTTAGTGGATTGGAATACATTTTGTGAATGATAATAAAACGGATAAATGGATAATCCAGACTTGGTTTTTTAGTAATGGTAATTGAGGCTAACCTAAAATTCAAAAGCTAATATCTCGGTTCAGAGTGGAGCAATTTGACTGAAATTTTCAGCATATTCTCTTTACATTATCTATTTATGTACCTATTATAGCAAGAACTGTAAACTTTTTATCTGATCTCCCATAATTCCCCTTTAATGCCTTTTTAGCAGTGATTTTATTTATTAATTTCTGTCCAGTTTGTGAACACCATTGGAGTTATAAATGATTATTTATTTTTTAGGAGCTAGAGAAGCCACCACCAGATCCACTTTATGGTTTAAGAATTCACACCTGGATCCTGGTATTATCGGGTAAACGAGAAGTAGCCGAGAGTTTTTTTATCGAACCGTTTACCGGGTTACCATATCCTGTTGACAGTACGAATTATCTGGGTATTGAATCGGTGTGGAATAATACCAACTACTGGGTTAACATGCAGGATTGTTCCAACGGTGTTCAGGTAACAATACAATCTAATTAAAACACACATCCTATTTCATTTCATTTTTTATAGTTCAAAATTTCGTTTTACTTGTCTTTACTACACTAGGATCTGGAAGGGTTGTAATTCAAAATAAGACGCTGTTATAATCTAGGTGATTGTACTCCTATATATATTTTAGTATTTTTCGGGTTTGTTATTTTTTTTTTTAATTTTAGGGTTTGAGTTACGATCTAGGTGATTGTACGAGATGGGAGTATATGTTTCCAGGTCTAGACAAACCGCTTCTACAAATACCAGAAGCAGAAGAAGATTTAATGGCTGGCTTAGATGAGGAAGAGGTAGGCCTGTTTTTTATTGTTCAGATGGTGATAAAAACTTGAGTGTGAACTCGCATACGTTGATTAAAGTCTCTGATTGAAATTTGAATTGATTACAAACTTGTGCTTTCTGCATCATCATTGTCAGTGCGTGTATGAAGAATAAGGAAACTTTAGGCCAAATTATAATCATACAACATTATAATGCTAGGTTCCCACTATCATGATTTGTGCTGCGATTGAAATCGTGGAGTAATCGTGGTGATCCTATCAGGTCATATCATATATTGAGGTCAGTCGTAGCAATCGTGTTGATCGAATCGAAACGTATCTGCACGTACCAGATCGTGGACTCAATAGGGACAATCCTATCGTAACGTATCGCACCACCGTGGGAACCTAGCATAATATATACATTGTGTGATAATTTGTGTCTGTCAGTGTGTGTGACTGGTGCCTTGTATTATATGGAAGAAAGAAGACTTGTATTGTAAATATTAAAGTTTGATTTCGATTTAAATATTAACTTTCCAAAATTAGATGTCCAGCGGCTTTTGCTGCATCCAGCTACATTTTCACTTTCAATTATTCCTTAAACCAAATTGAATACCTCACACGGAGCGCAATTGTGCCAGTTCTGTAAATTATACCTATAGCCTTTCTTTTTTTTATTTATTTGAAATTAATATTAATATTTGAAGTAATTTGCCATTTAGTGAGTATGGCTAACTAAACCGAATGTTTTGGGTTCGTTCCCAGTGTTGGTCAAGAAAGTTCCAATGATTTTCCGGTGTGGTTTTGCCTTGTCAGTTGCGTAGAATAGATTCCTACCAAAAAACGGCATCTACTTATTTGGATGGGACAAAAATAATGAAATCCTGTTGTACATGAAAGAACCCTTGAAATTTGAAGAGTTTACAGAAATGCTTCATGGCGTCTTCATTTGCTCATTTGTTGCAAAAGTGTAGGAAATTAAAACCCATTTTATTGCCTTTATAATATTTAAAGTTATAATATTTGCTAGGCTAAGATACAGCGTTATGTAATCGCCAGTATCAAATATGTAAGTATATCGCCATCACAACAAATATATCGCCATCACAACAAGTAGATCGCCATCACAACAAGTAGGACAGATAAGAGCACCCTTAGTAGGCTAAGCACATATCAATGCACAAATTACCTACGTCTTCAGATTATATGAAAAGGGTATTTTCACTTCTTGTTTGGTACAATAGTAAAATAGCTTTAAGCTGGGATTGTCTTGGGTTTTATATATATAAGCATGAAGATCTCGTAAGCCAACATTGTTAGATTAGCTCACAATACGTTAATTAATTAAAGTAAATTCTGAGCATAGATTTATCTGTGGATGCTTTAAACGGGTTGTTCTTTGAGTGAATTTTTGCGTACATTTATCTGTGGATACTTTAAAGTGGGTTGTTCTTTGAGTGAATCAAACTGGTTAATTGTCTGGGAATCCTGGGCGGGGGGTTGGATGGTCGAATGGTTAGCACGTGTGCATTCAATCATAAGGCCTGTCATTGAGTCAACTAGGCATGGTTTCGAATCCTTGGTTGTACGTGACAAGGAGTAGCGTTGCCTGTCCAACCTTGTGGGTTTTCTCTGGGTCCTCTGGTTTCCTCCCACTGCTAAAGACCCCTACGCGCAAGCGAATTATTGAAATAAAATTAAACCATATGTTAGTTGCAGCTCTCTCTCTCTCTCTCTCTCTCTCTCTCTCTTTCTCTTATATTAATGTGATGAAATGATGTTTATATGCAGAGTATCTATTCAGCGTATCAGTAATGGCATTTATAGTACAGCACTATTAATTGGATGAAATGCATCAGTCAGTTTGAATTTCATTTTCCAATCTGATTAAAACACAGATCCTATTTCGTTTCATTTTTTTATAGTTCAAAATTTCGTTTTACTTGTCTTTACATGTACTACACTAGGATCAGGAGCAGTCGTTATATAACTTGCGTTCCTATTGATGTGAGAGATTAGCCAATGAAATGGTCAGTTATGGCGAGTTTTAGGCGGGAGTTGCATGGAACTGTGGGTAACCCAATAGAAGCATCAACTCTAATTGGTTAATCAAATGTCTAACGTCATAGGGTCAAAAGCCCTCTGACGCAACCCCTCACTAAAACCGGTCAGATCTTCATCTAGTTGACGGCATCGAAAGTATAAAAAAATGAAATGAAATATAGATCTGTATTTTGATCAGATTATTTTGTTTCAGTAGAAATAAAAAGTAGAAATATTGAAAGACTTGTGTTGCAATTACACATCTTTTCCATCAAGCCTGGGCATAAGGCACCTGTCATAGACACAAATAATCACACAACGTTTTTATTAGAGTATAGGGAGACGCCCAAAAAACAGAACCCATAAAATTTGTATTAAATCCTACAATGGGACAGTAAATTTGATGAAATTTGCTGGACTTAAACTTCGGTCTGTGTATGATCATTGCCCAAAGTTTCAGTTATCTTGGTGGCTTTGCATAAAAGTGATGTTCCTTCCAAAATATACTCCAAATGGCCTCTGTGGTATTGGAGGCAAATTTGCATAAGTTGCACAAAATTGTCAATTACTTGAACACATTCCTTGGAATTTGCTGGGCCTTTGTAGGATTTAATAAAATTTTTATGGGTTCTGTTTTTTTGGGGGGTCACCCTATATATACATGCAACATTTCAATACTCTTACCATATATATATATATATATATACATTGTGTGATAATTTGTACTGGACAATGTCTGCGGCAGTTGCCTTATGTCCTTGCTTGTTTGTGTGCCGTGAAGTCTATCCATTAGCTGTTGTTGTTGTTACGTGGAGGGTTGGATGGCTGATTGGTTTAACCTGTGTGTGTTAGATTACATGGACTGTCATTGAGTCAACTGGTATGGTTTCGATTCCACGTTTGTACGTGATGGGGAGTAGGGGCGCCTGTCTAACCTTGTGGGTTTTCTACATTGAAATAATAGTTTGACGATGGGGGGTTAGATGGGCGAATGGTTCGCACGTGAAGGTCTGTCATTGAGTCAACTAGCATGGTTTTGATTCCACGTTTGTACGTGACGGGGAGTAGGGGTGCCTGTCTAACCGCGTGGGTTTTCTCTGTTTCCTCCAGTTTTCTCCCACTGCTAAAGACCCGTACATGCAAATAAATTATTGAAATAATATTAATCTCGAAATGAAGTAGTTTGTGTGGAATGGACATTAAACACCTCCTCTCTCTCTCTCTCTCTCTCTCTCTCTCTCTCTCTCTCTGCACCATAATTTCTGGGAGATAATGATATTATAGTAATTTGTTTATTATTTTTCTACGATCAATAAAACCATGATTGATCTTTTCTGCCTTAGTTTGACGATTGGGGGGTGGATCGCCGAATGGTTAGCGTGTGCGCGTTGTATCATAAGTTCTGTTATTGAGTCAACTGGTGTTGTTTCCATTTCCCGGTTGTACGTGACAACCCCATGGGTTTTCTCCTGGTCCTCTGGTTTCCTCCCACTGCTAAAGACCCCTACTCACAAGCGAATTATTGAAATAAAATTGAACCATATGTTGGTCCCAAAATGACCTAGTTTGTGTCAAGTCGGTTAATCTCTCTCTCTCTCTCACTGCAGATGATATAAATGAGATATGTTAAAAAGTCAGCGCCTCTTTGTTTAATCCAAGCCAGAAGATTACTTTAAAGGGGTTGTCACAGATATGTTTGAGTGATTCAAACTGGTTAATTATGTGTGAATGCTAGTCCTGTACAATGATCAGAATTTCTGTGGTACTTTTTCATAGAATTACATTCTTTCAGTTTTGTATCATATATTGTCCAAAATCCTCAAATGTCTTGATATCCATGTCGGCCTACTTGTCTAAATTATAGAGATAAATGGCATCATGATTATCATATTGTCATGACTGAACAATGAAATTCATTAGATTACTTACCTCCTACATGTAACCCTGGTAACATCTCGTTATGTACAGCTAAACCTTCGGACAATGTATTTGGACTGCTTCTTTTATTTTGGAAGGGGGGGGTGTTGATGGCCGAATGGTCTGTCATTGAGTCGACTGGCATGGTTTTGAATCCCCGGTTGTACGTGACAAGGAGTAGGGTCGCCTGTCCAACCTCGTGGGTTTTCTCTGGGTCATCCGGTTTCCTCCCACTGCTAAAGACCCCTATGCGCAAGCGAATTATTGAAATAAAATTAAACCATATGTTAGTTCCGAAATGACCTAGTTTGTGTCGCGTGGACGTTAAACCCCATTTCTCTCTCTCTGGACTGTTTCTTTTATTTTGGAAACCTTGGGGTATTTTGGGGGGCGGAGGGGACTGCTACTTTAACTATCTTGTATTATTTTATTTATTTCTATAGGACGAAGATAAGGAAATAGAGAAACACCTGGATATGCCACCAACATGGGTTGAACCATTAAAATTATCTCTAAAAGGTACTGCTTTTTGTACTTATTTATAGTTCTATCATAAAGAGTTCAATTTCTTTTGTTTATCGAAACCCTTTTTTTTTGTTGCATTTGATTGAGAGTCTGTCAATGATCGTTGACAGTTTTAACTGATTTATAATATTTAATTTTCAAAACTGAGTATTAAGTTGCACAATGTTGAGATATACAGTTCCATATGTTGAGATACACAAGTCATTGTATTGAGATGCACAACTTATTATATTGAGATATACAACTCATTATATTGAGTAGCAAAACTCATTATATTGAGATGCACAACTTATTATATTGAGAAGCAAATTTCATTATATTGAGATACACAATTCATTGTATTGAGATGCAAAACTAATTATATTGAGATACACAACTTAGTGTATTGAGATACACAACTCATTATATAGAGATACACAACTCATTATATAGAGATACACAACTTAGTGTATTGAGACACACAATTCATTATATTAAGATGCACAACCCATTATATTGAGATGCACAACTCATTATATTGAGATGCACAACTCATTATATTGAGATGCAAAACTTATTATATTGAGATACACAACTTAGTGTCTTGAGATACACAATTCGTTATATTGAGATGCACAAGTCATTATATTGAGATGCACAAGTCATTATATTGAGATACAAAATTCATTATATTGAGATGCAAAACATATTATATTGAGATACACAACTTATTATATTGAGATGCACAAGTCATTATATTGAGATGCACAAGTCAATGTATTGAGATGCATAATTCATTAATATTGAGTTACACAACTCATTATATTGAGATGCATAACTCATTATATTGAGATGCATAACTCATTATATTGAGATGCATAACTCATTATATTGAGATACACAGCTCATTATATTGAGATACACTATTCAATATATTGAGATATGCAACTCATTAAACCCCATTTCAATTCATTTCTATATTGAGATGCTCAATCAACACATTATAATGAGATGCACTAGTCAACATATTGTGACATATATTGCCATACTGGTACTTGAGGCTTTAATAAAACGAAATCATGTTCTTATAATTTCTGTTTCTTTTTCCCGTAGATTTTCAGATGAGGTGTCCTTTAGGTAAAAAGAGCAAGTTATACAAACGAGCTAAATTGGAAAAATTTGCCCATTATTTGATGCCGGATGGATTGATATCTCGACTGTCTGTGTACGATGATCGTGAATGTAAGTTATTTTATGCTCATCTGTTTCGTCTGTCTAGACAGATTTTATATTTTACCAAATATAGACAATGTAATAATGATACAGTGTACTATTAAACCGTCGTCTAGTCTTTACAAGACCTAGCCATCTAATTTTACCCCTAATGCTTTTATCTTCTACCAAATATGGTAATCTCATAATACAATTTACACCATATATGGTTACTTACTGAAAGGGAGGTTGGCTGGTCTAGATTATAAGGTCTGTCAAATGACTAGGTATTTCGAATTCAAGATTGTATGGGGTGGGGGGGGTCGAATGGTTAGCATGTGCACGCTGTATCATAAGGTCTGTCATTGAGTCAGCTGGCATGGTTTTGATTCCCCGGATGTACATGACAAGGAGTAGGGTCGTCTGTCCAACCTCGTGGGTTTTCTCTGCTAAAGACCCCTACGCACAAGTGAATTGTTGAAATAAAATTGAACCATGTGTTAGTCCCGAAATGACCTAGTTTGTGTCAAGTGGACTTAAAACCCATCTCTCTCTCTCTCTCTCTCTCTCTCTTTCTCTCTCTCTTAGATTGTATGTGACAAGGAATATGGATGACTGCTCAACCTAGAGGGTTTTCTCCGAGGCCTCCTGTTTCCTACCACTGCTAAAGATCCCTAAACACAATTATACAATGTGTTAGTCCCGAGCTGACCTAGTTTGTGTCGAGTGGACGTTAAACACGATTCTTTTCATTTTCCCATATTTCAATTTATTTTCATTATACTTAATTGCCCAGGTCAGGAAATAACAGTTTTAGTTTGATTTGACAAAAGGTCCAGCACTAATGGCCCTGGCATACAATAAAAAAGACAAATCTATTCAGACACGATGCACTGTAACCTGGATATCATTTAATCTTGTGTATTTAGCACTAATTTCTTTCACATTCATTCAATATCAAATCTTTTATAAAAAATCTGTAAAAATCATTTAAAATCCCAGTTTAAAGCTGACTGATTAATTTTGATAATGAGTGTCGAATTTACAAGTGTTTAATTTCCAGACCACTGTTCAAAAATTAATCATTATAGTTATACATCAATAATCAATTGGGTTGTTTATTTTTTTAACAGTGATCAAGAAATTAAACAATTGGACACTCATTATCAAAATTGAATGGTCAGCTTTAAACTAGACACAAGTACAAATTAGATGATTTTTGGGGATTTTATTGAGTTTTTGATCAAAGACTTGATATTGAATGAATGTGAAAGAAATTAGTGCTAAATACACAAGATTAAATGATACCCGTGGTACAGTGATGTCAGACACAAGAGTAATTGTACCCGACAAAGTCTGTATTTGTGCTGGACTATGTCTGTGACAGGTGTCTTATTGAATGTCCTGTATTTTCCGACGTAGTTTCTCCTTGTCAGTGGTGCAGGACGGAGGGCCTGACAAGAACAGCTAACTAGTCCTTCAAATGAGACAAAAAACCAAGGTTGTGTGTATACATTGGTGTGCATGTAAAAGATCCCATGACAGTTGGAATTCGATATAAGAGTAGGTCATAGTGCCACTGCCCATGCAAAATTTCGCTTATAACACACTGTATGGCGTATGCCCGTCTTCATTAGCCCAGTCTCGGAGTAGGACGTTAAACCCCATTTCATTTCATTTCATTTTATTTATATTTCAGTGACTGATTTAATGTTGATAAAAGAATATTACGCACATCGCCAGGACAAACTACATACCAAGATACACAATCACAGAACAGGCTGGATATCGGAACATTTTTATCCTGGCAGACATCGTTGCTTAAAGGGTGAGTAGCCTAAACTGACCCACTTTTGATGAGCATGATTTAAAACTTCTTGACAACTACTGAAAATTTTTTTTGACGGATTTGTAAATTAAAATCACTAGTATTCATCTCCATTTTTTAGCAATATCAAAAAATTCAACAGCTCATGCAGGGCACGCTGGTATATACCAAAACCAATCTCTGACCTACTTAAAACTAAATATTTACGAGTAGTAAATTAAATTAATTAAGCAGCGTTTAATAACTGTATGAGAATAACATATTACGCAATTATATGGAATACAAGTTATATGGAATACAAGTTATACATAAAAGTTTATATCTTGTCTTAATCAAGCAAAGAATGATAAAGACAAAGGAATTGTCAAAATTAGGGTGACCCATGTACGCACAGAAATACAGTCCACCGCTGATAGTTCGAGACTACCACTGAAGCGTGCACATTCGCCGTGCCGAGACCAACTTTCTGACAGTATGATACTATAAATAGGCATGGCACGTGCAATTCTCTACAAATCTATCAACTATTAGAGCCGTAAAAAATTTATTGTTGACGATTTTGAATAGCAGTAAAATTAAGCTTCTTGGTTATTACAGCAGATTTAGAAATTACGTTCTTTTCATTTTTTAAATCGCTTTATCATTAACTGTACCGTTAAGAGCGGTACAGTTTTGGTTTAGTACAAATAATATCTCTGAATCACTCGGGTTAGACAGGAACATGATACTAGCAGTAGTTTCATTTTACTTTTACAAGCTTCTTAAAACGATTGTTGAGCTACCTAACGTGCTTATTTCTAAATTCAATTTCTTGTTCTAGCTTTCTGTTATGTTTCGTAAAAAAGTAGTCTTGATTATCCCGATCTGTCAATCAGACGTAGAATGGTCGATAGACTGGTTAAGCGAGACTAACTTCAAAACAAGGGCACGTAACCTATCTTTTACTCAAAAGTGTCTGGATGTTATGGACGACTCTTGGAACCAGTTTTCAATCTATTATTTATACATGATTAATGGTCATAGCTTATTAAGTACAACATGATCGTTTATTTAGTGACTATAATTGTGTGAAACTGATTTGAGGATTGGCATATATATAAATATTGTGGCGTAATTGTCGAGATATATGGAGATATTTATTTATGGTGGGTCACCCTATCAAAATGTTGCCAGAAATATTGACTTTTTCATAACAATATTCACGATAAAATATACTCAAATCATTATTTAACATTTAATTAAAGATGTAAGGTTTAAATATAGAGCTTGCTGTTAGTATAATAGTTTAAAAATAGATAATGCAAAATGAATACATTGAAAATTTCTGTCAAATTCTGAGCTAGGTTATGAATGGTTGAAGTTTTGACAAGAAATAACCGTCTCGATTTTCAGTCCTTTGATGCAGATATTGTCTTATCCACTCAATATCTTGGCTAATGGATGTCTAGAGTATTGATTATAGGCTTGTCACATGAATAAAAGTTTAAATACATAATGCATCTTTAATTAATTTACATCATAATTGATTTACATCACAATTAATTAACATCACAATTGATTTACATCACAATTAACAATTAATTTACACCACAATTGGTTTACATCACAATTGATTTACATCACAATTGATTTACATCACAATTAATTTACATCTCAATTAACAATTAATTTACACCACAATTGGTTTACATCATAATTGGTTTACATCATAATTAATTTACATCATAATTTACATCATCATTAATTTACATCATCATTAATTTACATCATCTATATTTGATGCTGGAAAAAAACCCTGCAATATTCAGATGTTTCTCTTACATATAGTAAAGTTAAACACCTTGAAAACCAGAGAAAATTTTGAATGACAAGTAAATTAAATTCGCTGATCGTCATTCTTCACAGTTTTATTCACGCTAAAATCTAATTAAACTGATTAATTTACATTAAATAGGTAATTAAAAAAACAAGCTAAAAATATCAAAGTAGATAATCCCCCAGTTTGGATTATTATTATTATCATCAATTATAATTAAGTTGTCAGAAAAATGCAAATGACAATCATCAGATTTAAAGGTATTTTTTTTTCCTTTTTACAGAACATCAGTACAAAGCAAGTGCCCCAGCACCGGAGAATGAAAGAACGATGATCTTTTATAATGAGGCTCGAGTGGACGGCTTGAAAAAACGGATCGAGACACCGTTAGAAATGACCGAACATTTCGTCAACAGAGATGACTTCATGTTTTACAAACATGTAGACTTCGGAAAGCGACAGAAAAAGTTCGGACCACAGGAGGGAAGTGGATCAGGGAATACAAGACCCATTAACGTAAGATTCGTTCCTTCAATTTGTGCTAAATTAGATTAATTCTGTTAAAAAAAAAACAGATTAGTGAACTTAATGAACTGGAGATTTCTCAGCATGATTTATAAAATGGCTGTTTCAAGCGGACATTACTACGGAATCAGATAGACTTCATGCAGTTAAATCCATTATGTTATTTAAACCCCTAACAGGCCATGAAAAAGAATTGAACTTTTGCTCAAAGATGCCTTCCTGTGTAAAAACCATGTGATTTGATGACTTATTTGGACAAAAAAACGTATTGAAACTAATTTATCCATCAAAACTGAGCTACAAATCCCTCTTAAAACAATTTATCAGTCACAAGACTTTACCATAAATATTGAAGCCTAATATCCATCAGATCGGGGTGGCGTTCTTTCTGCGCTGCTATGGCGACGGAAAATGGTCTCAGAGCTCATCAAAATTCTTTATTATCGTAGCATGATACTTGACAACCAAGACTTAGCCTTGATTATCCATTTTATTGTTAAATTTTAGATCTCGCGGGTGTTAATTAAATCCATTTGAAATTTCAATTTATCATAACTTTGTAAATATAAAATTTAATTGAACCATTTTTGGACTGAGATTCATTCCTATTAGAGATTAAACATTCATATTATTGTAGATTGCAACGGATTTCTATAGTGCTAAATCAGACATCTAGTCTTTAAGTTGTGACAGTTGACATCATGCTTTCTATTGATTTTAGTGGGGGTGGGATGGCCGAATGGTTAGCGCCTGAGTATGTGGGTCATAAGGTCTGTCAATGAGTCAACTGGCGTGGTTTCGATTCCCTGGTCTTTCGTGACAAGACGTAGGGTTGCCTGTCCAATCTCGTGGGTTTTCTCCTGGTCCTCCGGTTTCCTTCCTCTGCTAAAGACCCCCCACGCGCAACTGAATTATTGAAATAAAATTAAACCGTATGTTAGTCCGGAAATGACCAAGTTTGTGTCGAGTGGACTTTAAACTCGATTTCTGTCTCTCCCTATTGATTTTACACCAAAATCTATTTGTGTCTTTGAAAATACAATCCCACCTATTTTTCTTGAAGTTTTTTTTTTATACAATTAAACCCATTTTTCATGAAGTTTTTTTTTTTAATACAATCCAACCCATTTTTCACAAAGTTTCTTTTTTTTTATATACAATCCAACCCAGTTTTCATGAAGGTTTTTTTTTACTTTCAAGATAAGCTTAATAAATAAGAACAATCCGACTTGTAGATCGTATATTGTAGAAAATGGTTCATCAGGTTCCATTGTAATAAATCTTATAGTTTTATTCACTTTCAATAAAAGAAATACATTCATTTGTTGAAGGCTTTATTTTTTAAAGGTGGTAATTTTGTCACCATCAATCAATTTAATCATACTGTTCGTTGAGTATAGTTCATATTTATTTAGATATTCTAGAAGTTTAAAGTACCGTAGCTAAGTCTATAACTCAATATTTTGCATAATCAAATGAAATGAAATGGGGTTTAACGTCCTACTGTTCTGCTCCTATACTTGGCTAATGAAAACGGGTATATGCCATACAGTGTGTTATGAGGGAAATTTTGCCCGGGCAGCGGCACTATGATCTACCCTTATATCGAATTCCAACTGCCAATGCAGAGATCGAACACGCGACCTCCAGACTAGTGATCCAGCGTCTTACCCACTTAGCCACCGTGGCTCCCCTATTGCATAGAACACAAGATAAAAGAAAGAAAGCGTGAGAGATTTTTAATTATCTTTTCTGATATTTATATATTTTAGAAAATGATACAGAAATTTCATCGTAATAAATCAAAGCAGGCAAATGAAGATATTGCAGAGTTGATATTCCTGATATCAGAAGATAAGATACAGATATCGTACCACACAGAGGACGCTCGTATTGTCTCGTCAACACGGGAATATATCAAACCCAGTAACTGGGAAGAAAAAGGTGCTACATTAAAATGGGAGTCAGATCAGCTTCATCAAACTTTCCAGGTATGTAAAGATCAAGGTTTCTGTTCCAAAATTTTGCAGTGGGGTTGGATGACCGAATGATCATCATAAGGCCTGTCATTGAGACAACTGGTGTGGTTTCGAATCCCCTGTTGTACTTGACAAGGATTAGGGTCGCCTGTCCAACCTCGTGGGTTTTCTCCGGGTCCTCCGATTTCCTCCCACTGCTAAAGACCCCTACGTGCTAGCGAATTATTGAAATAAAATTAAACCATATATTAGTCCCAAAATGACCTAGTTTGTGTCGAGTGAACGTTAAACCCCATTTTTCTCTCTCCAAAATATTGCTTGTCGGATTTTTCCAGCTTCAGGAAATAGGGTCAATAAGCCTCCATTCCTTACCAATATTTCTTATGTTAAGCATCATATCATAGTATTCTTAATATTTATGATTATCTCCAGAAAGCGAATGAAACAGATTCCCTGGTGAGAGAGAGAGATGGGGTTATATGTCCACTGACACAAACTAGGTCATTTTGGGACTTACATATGGTTCTTTTTTATTCCAATAATTCGCTTGCGTGTAGGAGTCTTTAGCAGTGGGAGGAAACCAGAGGACCCGGAGAAAATCCACGAGGTTAAACAGGTGACCCTACTATGTGGCATGTAGAACCGGGGAATCGAAACCACGCCAGTTGATTCCATGACAGACCTAATGCTGCAAACGTGAATGCGCTAACCATTCGGCCACCAAACCCCCTCCCTGGTGGTGGACTGTACCAGAACATTCTGTTCATGTCAAATAGTTTATTTTTCTCTAATTTATTATCTGAAACAGAGCCCCAGTTTCATTTTGTTGGGAGCCCAACAGTAGCTCACTAACCAAGCGGTCCCGTTTTTGGTCCAGTTTTGTCCGAGAAATTTCCTTGGGGTTTTCCAGCCTAGTTCCCATTCCCCTCGCGTGTCTGGCAAGAAAAAGCGTCTAAACATTCTGATAGGACAAAAACAACAAATTAAAGACCTCTCCGACGTTTGGAAATTGAGATAAGTGTCGGATATATATAACACGGATGCCATGGCAAAATATTGATGACTGAATTTTCTTGTTTTGACCTGTATTAAAATGTTTTATCTCCTTTAAATTTAACTTCTATTCTGCACTTTGAAGATAAATCCTTTTTTTTTGTTTTTGTTTTTTTGCCGTAGAATTTACAAAGAATAGATGATTCTCTCTCCTATTCTCAATTCATCAACAAAGATTTTTTTTTGATGTTACTATTTCTTCCTTCAGGTCGATGCTGACATTAAGAGTAAAAAACAAGTGGATATTTATCAAATGATGTTACATTTATTAAAATGTGAAGATGTTTGTAGAGAGAGAGTTCGAGAATCAGAAGACGAGGTTAGTAGGTCTTTCATTTCTATTATGCTATCAGTAGTCTAAAGGTTAGATCTATTCGATAAGGCCAACTTCAAGTTTGATCAAAGGTCAAGAGATTTAAACAGGGCTAGTGCTAATCCCAGTCCTAACCCTAACCATTGGCCTAGCCCCAATGCTTACCCTAACCCTAACCTACAATGTTGCCAACAATCACATGCCCTAACCTTATTTACATCTTAGCGACCTTGACGAAGATTGAGCTGGCCTTAACAAATAGATTTAGCCACCATCAAGTCGAGGTTAACAGGTCCTATATTCTATTATACTACTGAGACCTTATTAACGAAAAAGTAAAAAATACATTCCCACGAAAGTATTTATAGGGTAGATATTTCCAATAATAAGTAGCATGGCATATTTGGTATATGAAAAGTAGGGACACTTAATGTTACTAGGGGGTTGGATGGCCGAATGGTTAGCACGTGCGCGTTGTATCATGAGACCTGTTATTGAGTCAACTGGCGTGGTTTGGAATCCCTGGTTGTACGTGACAAGGAGTAGGGTTGCCTGTCCAACCTTGTGGGTTTTCTCCGGGTCCTCCGGTTTCCTCCCACTGCTAAAGACCCCTACACGCAAGCGAATTATTGAAATAAAATTAAACCATATGTTAGTCCCGAAATGACCTAGTCTGTGTCGTGTGGACATTAAACCCCATTTCTCTCTCTCTTTAATGTTACTAGATAAATGCTGGATTCCCTGAAAAACACCCATTTGGATCCCACAAGACAAAAATGTAAGCGTGTCCCTAAGTGATATTTGGAAATGTACAAACAGATATAACTATAGAACAATATTGATCAATTATGAAATAGAAAAATAAATAAAAATAGCACAATAGAGGAAGAATATTTTAAATTTTCATTTTAAATGTGTTAAAAAAAAAATTAAAATGATATTTTTGTTAAAACAAGATAATAAAATCTAAAGAAATAAAATAACAGGTTACAGGGATTAGCCAATGAAACCATCTGTTATGACAAATTCTTGGCATGCAATGCACGGAACTGTGGGTAAACCACTAGAAATATCAACGCTGATTAATTAATCAATGTCTGACGTCATAGGGTCAAAAGCCGTTCGTATGACCTCTGACTCGACCTTTTACTACATTGTACAACTTGTCAGATCTTCATATAGTGTAGGCCATCAAAAGTATAAAAAAAATGAAACAAAATATGGATCTGTTTTTTAAACAGATTGTTTTCTAATTTTGGTTTGTTTTCAAGAGCTCAGGGTAATTCTCAGAATTCCGTTGACAACTTCCGCAAAGCTTAACTAAACAGTTTATTTCATTGGCTGATCCACAGATCAACAGAACCTTGTTTAACTAAACAAAAAAAAATCTTAAGATGACTATTGTCAAGACAAATAAAACGAGAACAAAGAACATGTGAATAAATCGAGACGAAATACAATCTATTTTTTAATCGGATTGCAAGAGAGTCATTTTGATGTGGATTTAAAATTTACTTTTAGAAACAAACTTACAGGCAAATTTCGAAATTTTAACCATCTTTTATAAGGATTAAGCTTTAAAAAAAACTGATAAATAAACTATTATATTTAAGGTATCATATTTTGAAAATCGAACCAATTTATACATATTCAACAATATTGGAAATTAAAAAGACCTTTGCATTAAAGATGTCTGAACTGAAAGGTTGGAGTGCTAAAATTGTTTTGAAACGGAAAGTTAGACGAAAGATTAAAGATACATTATGTAAAATTTAGATAAAGAGCTGACCATTCATGTTATAATAGCTGAAAAATAGATAATGTAAAATGAAAATATTGAAAATTTCATTCAAATTACTTCATTCTGAGCCAAGTTATCACTGTTTGTAGTTTTGACAAGATGTGTGCATTGTGGTAACCAGGGCACTGGTATATTCGAGACTTAGTCTCGCTTTCCCATTTTTAAATTAAATTTTTAAATGGCGAACCGTTCTAATCTAGTTAAAATCTCGAGTATCCGATGCCATCAAGAGTTGATTATTGTCTGGATAAGTTAATTAATGTCTAATTATTAAATTATATAACATTTAAGGCCTAAAGAAAGACCTGCAATAGGCAGATTTAGCTCTTGCATAATGTATGTTTAATTTAAAGCTGAAAATGCAGTTTGTTAGTCTCGTTAGTGCAGAACAGTAAGATGTTAAACCCTGTTTTATGTTATTTTATAAATTTGAACATTAACAAGAGAAATACATGAAATGGGATCCAAGCTTTAATCAAATTGTTATCTTCTGGAATATTTTACACTTTAAAGGAACTAAGTCTCTAACTCAATATTTACCATAATAATCGAAATCAAAAACACAAATTAGAATTCAATCCATATTGATGTTGTTATGTTGCCGTGAAAATGTGGGATACTAATATCCAATATGTAAGACACAATGAATGTTTTATAATCAGTACACGAGTCGTGTACCATATAGTTTCGGGCGCAACACCAATGAACAAAGAAAAACATATCCTAAATTACAATGTGGCAGTAAATAGTAATGGCTGATTCACAAATGATAAAAAATAATAAAAATATGTGAAGAATGGGCTAATTAGGCGTAAACGATTGTCTTTCAGTTTGATCTGTTATGGTATAATTACAATTTTTTTTAAAGAATTAGATATAAATCACTTGATATATACACTCATATTACATTAATATATGCTTTTAGATCCATTTATGGTTAAAAAAAATAGAGCCATACACCCTTTAAAAAAATGATGTAAAAAAAAAATAAAAGGGTCTTTGTTCTTTATTTTTTTATTTCAACAGTGTAAATAAAGTCTGCTTAAAATAGAAACCCAATCCTGATCAGCATTAATTCATTTCTTAGTTGTCCAGATTTATCGTATGAAAACTCTTTTGTTCTCAACTAATTCCAAGCCAGTTCTTTGATTTGTAATTTGTAACTACATAAGAAGGAAGTAATGGGTACCACTCCTATAAAGTAAATAAAACTCATTATACAAAATGCAATGCTGCATAAAAAAACTAATTTACTCCACAATTTGCTTTATAATTAATTTACACCACAATTAATTTACATCATAATTAATTTACATCATAATTAATCTATATCACAATTAATTTACACCATAATTAATTTACATCATAATTAATCTATATCATAATTACTTTGCATCACAATTAATTTACATCATAATTAGTTTACATCATAATTAGTTTACACCACAATTAATTTAATCCTTTAGTGGCATTTAGCAATTGGAAACATAACAAAACTGACACAGTTATATGGGACAACAATCACTGGTTTATTATACACAATTAATTTACATCACAATTAATTTACATCATAATTAGTTTACACCACAAATGGTTTACTACCAGTACATCAAAAATAGTTTTACACAACAATTAATTTATTAATTTACGTCATAATTATCCAGTTTTCTCCGACTGCTAAAGACCCCTACGCGCAAGTGAATTATTGAAATAAAATTTGACCATGTGTTAGTCCCGAAATGACCTAGTTTGAGTCGAGGGGACGTTAAATCTCTCTCTCTCTCTCTCTCTCTCTCTCTCTCTCTCTCTCTCTCTCTCTCTCTCGGTTTCCTCCCACTGCTAAAGGCCTCTACACGCAAGCAAATTATTTAAAAAAAAAAAAAATTAAACCATTTGTTAGTCCCAAAATGACCTGGTTTGTGTGGAGTAGACGTTAAACCTCTCTCTCTCTCTCTCTCTCTCTCTCTCTCTCTCAATGCTACTGCTCTGTCATTTCATAGATATTTACAGTGACATGTTAGTTTTCTAGTACAAGATAACCCCAGGAAATTATAGCAGTATTATTTCTTTTATCTAATTTCTTTGATCATAATTGTCAATGTCATGATTCGGTATTTCCAGAATTCATCGCCATGGTTACACGGTGTATAATATAATAGCATTTTATATTCTAATGGAGAATAGATTTCCTCTTTATTTTTTTTATCCCTAAATAATAAAAATGTTCGATACAGTTATTTTCGTTGATTTCTTGCTGAACGATTTTCAAACAGTTTGAAAATCTTTCATCGTTTTTTTCCCGCAAGTTTGACTTGGAGGTGTGGAGTTATTATCCTGGACTTAATCACAGAAATCTTCTACAAAGCTAAAAAAGGAAAATCCACAAAGCTTCTAATAAAAAATCTTTCTGAACAATATTCTTCTGCTAATAGTCTGGTTGCCACTAGCAACATTTAATTGTATACATTGTTCGGAACTTTCTAGTTTTTATTAATGCAGAGTAATAACATGACATCAAACCTAATACAAATTCAGATGGACTTTAGTTGATGTAATGATTTACTTTTCATCTTCGCTAAAATATCAAATTTCTCACAGCTTAATTCACCCTAAATATGTACTCAGATTGATTATTTAACATTTAATAACAGTACCATATACTTAAGGGAGGATTGCTGATCCCCCCCCCCTTCTCCTCTCATATTATATATATATATATATATATATATATATATATATATACTAGAATAGTTAATTAAAGCTGCTCTTTGATAATATATAATTGAAATTAAAGATGGCAAAATAAAACTACATTTTTATGCTAACGTTTTCACCGCGATAGCGCCTCTTCAGGCATTTATTAAACAATAATTCAATTAACAATAGTCTATGACGTCACAATGTCATAGTTACATTATTATACAGGCAAGGGTAGTAATTTCTTAGTCTACAGACTACAAATATTCAATCCCACCACGGTCTTTATTTTATTTAATTTAATTTAATTATTCTCTTATTTAGAATTAAGTTTCGGGTGGTACTTCTCAATAAAATAGCTTTCTTTTGCCTCCAAGAGGTCGTTGTTTTTGCTATTAAGTCTATATAAAGGAAAAACACTAAATTTACCCCCACCACATACTTCAAGATGCTCACTGAGCGGGATCATCCTGTATTTTGGTTGAAGTATGTGCTGTCGATGGAGGTTCATTCTCAACCTAAGCATCATTTGGGTCTTTCCTATATACCTTCCCTTGCATCCCGGACACGCTATAAGGTAAATTACATATATATATATATATACAGCACATTTACAGTGCGCCCTTTCATATAACATGTTCAGGGGCAATTTATAAATTGATAATGTAATCATAAATAAACAAAAAGATTGTGAACATGTTAGATTATTCCATAAAACAGGTGCTTGACAACTAAAAGAGAGCTGACCGTAAAAGACTAGTTGAACAGTTTTGGGCTTTAAAAGTAGTTTATCTGATGTACGGTACCATACACTTAAGGCAGGTTACTGTGTATAATAAACATAAATATCTTCAATAGCAGTACCGTATACTTAAGGCAGTTTACTGTGTATAATAAACATAAATATCTTCAATAGCAGTACCGTATACTTAAGGCAGGTTACTGTGTATAATAAACATAAATATCTTCAATAGCAGTACCGTATACTTAAGGCAGGTTACTGTGTATTATAAACATAAATATCTTCAATAGCAGTACCGTATACTTAAGGCAGGTTACTGTGTATAATAAACATAAATATCTTCAATAGCAGTACCGTATACTTAAGGCAGGTTACTGTGTATTATAAACATCTTCAATAGCAATACCGTATACTTAAGGCAGGTTACTGTGTATAATAAACATAAATATCTTCAATAGCAGTACCGTATACTTATGGCAGGTTACTGTGTATTATAAACATCTTCAATAGCAATACCGTATACTTAAGGCAGGTTACTGTGTATAATAAACATAAATATCTTCAATAGCAGTACCGTATACTTATGGCAGGTTACTGTGTATTATAAACATCTTCAATAGCAATACCGTATAATTAATGGAGGGTTGCTGTGTATTATAAACATAAATATCTTCAATAGCAGTACCGTATAATTAAGGCAGGTTACTGTGTATTATAAACATCTTCAATAGCAATACCGTATACTTAAGGCAGGTTACTGTGTATAATAAACATAAATATCTTCAATAGCAGTACCGTATACTTATGGCAGGTTACTGTGTATTATAAACATCTTCAATAGCAATACCGTATACTTAAGGCAGGTTACTGTGTATAATAAACATAAATATCTTCAATAGCAGTACCGTATACTTATGGCAGGTTACTGTGTATTATAAACATCTTCAATAGAAATACCGTATAATTAATGGAGGGTTGCTGTGTATTATAAACATAAATATCTTCAATAGCAGTACCGTATAATTAAGGCAGGTTACTGTGTATTATAAACATCTTCAATAGCAATACCGTATAATTAAGGGAGGGTTGCTGATCTTCCTCTTCCTCTTGTATTTAATAACGGTAATTTACTATATACTTAAACATACATTATGGGAGATTTTTATAGAGAGTTGGCAATTCTTGCTATAACAGTTCAATGAAAGATGCTTCAGTCAAATTACTTTATTCTGAACATAGTTATCATCGTTGTAATATTTGCCTAGAAATGGTAGCGAAATGTGTCTTCACCTTAGCCGGTCGTTTGATTGACAGGCGTTAACTCCACCTACATATCTCGATTATCAAGTAAAGTTTTCAATGGCATACGGAAACGCTTTACAGCGGCCTCACTAAGTACACTCTATCATTTATCCTGACGTATTTTCATCAGGTTACCCCTTATTTGATTTAATCAATTAGTGAAATCCTATTTAAATCCGAGCTGTAGCCGAGCCATCCGTGGGTCTACAGAGTTGATTTTGGTCTTGTTGTTTAAATAAAGATCTAATTTATAATTTCTATAACATCTGAAGCCTAAATAAAGACTTACAATAATCAGATTTAGCTCTTGCATAATGCATGTTTAAGGGAGGGTTGCTGATTCCCCCCCCCCCTCCTCTCATATTGAATAACAGTTATGTACTGCGTATAATAAACATAAATATTTTCAGCACATGTTCACATGAGGTTTGAGATAGAGCTAAATAATTTTTTCCGTCATTAATTTTCTAACCTTATTTCCTTTTTACGATCTTTAGGATGTGTTCCAGACGATCACCGGGCTATATTGTCGATATTTATTAGTTTTTATGATGTGACACGGAGAAGATAATTATTTTTCTATGTCTAATAGTTTGGTTAATCATCCCGCAATTTAACCAACCACCATTTTAATGGTGTGAAGAATGAAAATTATTTCAAATTTTTAAATCTAATAATTGAGTCGTCGAGGGAGAAATTTATAGTGACAAAATTGGTTTTGCAGACAAATTCTCATTTAATGTCCCAAGTTGATGAAAATACAGAGCTAATGTCTGATGAAAATACAGAACTATATTTCGTTTCGTTTTTTTTATATTTTCGATAGCCTCCACTAAATGAAGATCTGACGGGTTGTAGTGGAAAGTCGTGTCAGGGGTCATACGAGCAGCTTTTGTGACGTCAGACATTTGATTAACCAATCAACGTAGATGTTTCTAGTGGGTTACCCACAGTACCGTATACCAAGAACTCGCCGTAACAGTTTGTTGTATTGGCTAATCCCTCACATCAATCAGAACGCACGTTATATAACAACTCTTCCAGATCCTAGTGTAGTAAAGACAAGTAAAACGAAATTTTGAACTATAAAAACAAAACGAAATAGGATCTGTGTTTTAATCAGATTGGGTCAGAAACATAGGAGAACCACACAGCACATAAACAAACAGAAAAAAACGACAAACATTCAGACAGGACACACAGGCATTGCAAACAATTAACAAGTGTTCAAGCTACAAGGCGTTCCGGGCGCAAGTTTTTGCTTGAATTCGCCCCCTCGCTTGAGCCCTGAAACTTATCCGATAAGACAAACCTGCTGACAAGACACAAATCCATAAATAATTTGTGTTTATATTTTGTTCAGGTTCGTGAAATCTTAAATGGTAGGAGTAAAGAAGATACAGAATCAGAATTAGAGATCGGGGTCTACGATACGGAGAGAAACGAAAAAGCTAAAACTCACAGAAAAGAATTGGTAAGATGAAGTTTTTTTTAAGAAATGTGAATGAAAAGACAAAATATGTTGTTGTTTTTTTTTTTTTTAAAACAGTGATATCATTTTGACTTATCAGAAATTAATAACAACGTATTATTCAGTAAACTGATCAGTGGCTCTCAGTATATGAATCTTCATTCACCAACGGAATTGGTGCAGAAAAAGAAAGGATGTATTAAAGCCAGGGTTCTTAATCGATTTTGAAACGAAACAGCCAGAATTGGGTCAAATGAGGTCCGGGTAGGAAATGGGTTAATTATAAGCTTCCATTCCCTTGAATATAACCAGACTTCAACAAAAATAATTCTTGGTAATTTGTTATGGAGAAGTTGTATTTTGATGTATGTGATTACCACAAAATAATGACAAATAGGTACACCTTTTGAAAGCCCATTTTATTTATTTCCACGCGATACAAGGTTTGCTTTTGGAATATTAAGTTGTCGTGTTTTTTGAAGATTTGGTTGTGATAAATACCATTCGGTATCTGTGATTGTCAATGCCTTTTCACAAACTAATGACATAAACATGTGTTAATCATTAATATTTTCCTTTTCCTTTTTTTCACAGGAGAGATTACAACTAGAAGAAAAAATGAGAAAGCAAGAAATGGAGATAGATTATTTGGCCCCGTTCCTGGCACAGATCGGAGATCCAGAAAAAGTTTTGCGTAATCAAGCATTTAAATTGAAAGAGGATTGTTTGAATGACCTAAAACAAAGATTAATTGATAAAGCTAATCTAATACAAGCCCGGTTTGAAAAGGTACAGTTCATCAATTAAAACTTTCAACATATTATTAAATTTATTAGAATTTCTTTTAAACAAACATTTATCTATACGGCAATATTTGACCCTGGATATGAGATCTCTCAAGATTTCATGGAGTAGAAATTTATGCCACTTCGAAGATATTCTAGTGGGGGAGAGCGGGGATGGTTCGAACACTTTTGGGTTTTTTCACATTTATGCAACTTATAATGCTTTTGTCTCCGAACTTAAGAATGGAAAATAGACTTTACATTATTGGCTATATTCAGTCAGTGATACAGTTGTGTAGCTATAAAAGTCTTTATGTTGGACCAATTTTTGGAGGGTTAGTAAAATGTCCAGATTTACCCCATTAGCAGGGAGACACCGGTCAACCCTGGGGGGATACTTTGGACAAATGGAGGAGGATTGGACAAAAGTAAATTGAAAAGATTTCTTTCACAGTTTAGTTCTATTTCTTCAAAAAGTTCAGTTAGCAATAAAGTTAACACAGTAGTGATAAATTTAAAGCTGAATGTCATCTAATTGAGACATATTTTAACATAGCTGGATGAAAATAAATGAACAGATTCAAAAAGGAACCAACTGATAATTCTAAAGCTTTAAAGCTTCTTGCTATTCTCTAGGTATGACATCAATCCATAATTTACATCGAAAAAGGGGGGATCACGTGGCTAAGTGGGTAAGACGCTAGCTCGCTAGCCTGGAGGTCGGGTGTTCGATCCCTGCATTGGCCGAGAAAGTTCATCCAGATTTTCCGGCGTGGTTCTCCCTTGTCAGTGATGCAGGACGGAGGGGCTGACAAGGAAAGCTGTCTAGTCGTGCGGATGGGACGAAAAACCGAGGTCCCGTGTACACATTGGCGTGCACGTAAAACATCCCTTGGCAGTTGGAATTCGATATAAGAGTAGGCCGTAGTGCCGCTGTCCGGGCAAAATTTCCCTCATAGCACACTGTATGGCGTATGCCCGTCTTCATTAGCCCAGGTTAGGAGCAGAACAGTAGGACGTTAAACCCCATTTCATTTACATCGAAAAAGCTAATGAATGTTTATTCCCGCAAATGACGTACCAAATTTGTAGTAATAACTCATCCCCTTGTTGCTGCTGAATAAGGGTTTCGGAAGAATTGACAGAATTTGATTTAATGGAAGTAAAGCAGCAGTACCCATAATTTCAGTAAACTTATTAGACCCTGCAACTGCCAGTCATCATTCTTTTTCTTTTTTTTTTTATCAAATCTGACTCTTGGAAATACTGAACAGTTTGATCTGAACACTTCTGGGGTAATTCTGGACAGTGTCCGGATGTATCCCAAACCCATAATTCTGATATAAGCCACCATTATGTTTATTTACAATGAAAATATGATAAATTTTCAATCTATTTCTATTAATTAGCGAAGGAAGAAAGAGGTGACAGCTTACCCCTAGTAGAAACTTGTTAAACACCGAATTAATTTAAGCATTTAACTTTAGAAATTTTTTACATCAACTTTGTCAAAAATAGAAAAAAGCTTATCTGCATCTACATTTGAATGTTTATCTCCACCATGTGTTTTTCGTTTTACAAGATGAAATCTTTAGTATTATAATAACCAATCAAAAAACGGATAGCATTGTAAAGATTAAAGCTATGGGGGGTGTCCGGACCATCCAACCGTCCGAACCATCCCCGCTCTCCCCTGCTCATTCAAACAGAGTTACCCTATGAAATTTAGAGGACTGTTGTTCATTCGACACAACTTTATGAATCCAAGAAATTTCTATTTTGGGGTATGATTAACATGAAACAGAGAGAGAGAGAGAGATTAACGCCCACACAACACAAACTAGGTCATTTCAAGACTAACATATGGTTCAATTATATTTCAATAATTGACTTGCCCATAGGGATCTTTAGCAATGGAAGTAAACCAGAGGACCCAGAGAAAACCCACAAGGTTGGACAGTTGACCCCTACTACTTGTCACGTACAACCAGGGAATCTAACATTAAACTGTTGGTTGGTTTAATAATAAGTAATTTATATGACACTGACTATTTAACCTTCTCTCAGGCATTTGACATTAATAAATAAATAATGACCACAATGATAAAACATTAAACTTGCTATAAAAAACAATAAAAAAACCCCACAAAATGAATATTAAACTAATTGTTAAATTTTCTGCAAATAGTATTTACTATATAATGCTTGCAATGGATGCCAGATGTCGAAATATTTTAAGTTCATCATATCTTTGTAAATACAGAACGGAATTGAACTGTTTTGAACAGATATTTTTTGAATCCTTCAAATGCCTTTTAGGGACTTTATCCTAAAAGTTCCTCAAAATTGTATTATTTTTTTTATTCTCTTTCATGGTACCATCTTCATTAGCCCAGTCGGTGCGAAATACTAGGACATTAAACCCCATTTTATTTCATTTCTTTTTAAATTGAATTTTACAGGAAACTCAAGAATTACAGAAGAAACAGGCATGGTACCAACAAAACCAGGTGAACATGCCAAAAGAAAATGAAGAAGATTATTTGAATTATTGTAGTGATGCCATGTTCCGTATTCATATCTTGGAAGTTCGATTAAACAGGTGGGTTAAAGTCGAAAATCTCTGTAAGATGAACATCAATCTGATTATAATACAGATCTATATTTCGTTTCGTTTTTTATACTCTCAGTGGCCTACACTACATGAAGATATGACTGGTTGTAGTGGGAAGTCACGTCAGGGGTCACATGAATGGCTTTTGACCCTATGACGTCAGATATTTGATTAACCAATCAATGTTGATTTTTTCTAGTGGGTTACCCACATATCCATGCACCTCAGGCCAAAAAATCGCCGTAACAGACCATTTCATTGACTATTCCCTCACATCATCCAGAATGCAGGTTATATTACAACTCTTCCAGATCCTAGTGTAGTAAAGACAAGTAAAACAAAATTTTGAACTATAAAAAAATGAAATGAAATAGGATATGTGTTTTAATCGGATAAGATGAATATTTTTTATTTTGTGGGAGGGGGAGCTGCAGTGGCTCAGTGGCTAAGACGCTTGCTCGCTAACCAGAAGGTCTCGGGTTATCTCCCATTGTTGGCGGAGACCATTCCTCGGGTGTTTCCGGCATGGTTTCCCCCTCGTGAGTGGTGCACGACGGAAGGCCTACTAGCAAGGAACAGTGTCTACTCGTTTGGATTGGACGAAAAAGTTCCTCAGGAATTTCCGGCCTACTAGCAAGGAACAGTGTCTACTCGTTTGGATTGGACGAAAAAGTTCCTCAGGAATTTCCGGCGTGGTTTTCTCCTCGTCAGTGATGCACGACGGAAGGCCTACTAGCAAGGAACAGTGTCTACTCGTTTGGATTGGACGAAAAAGTTCCTCAGGAATTTCCGGCGTGGTTTTCTCCTCGTCAGTGATGCACGACGGAAGGCCTACTAGCAAGGAACAGTGTCTACTCGTTTGGATTGGACGAAAAAGTTCCTCAGGAATTTCCGGCGTGGTTTTCTCCTCGTCAGTGATGCACGACGGAAGGCCTACTAGCAAGGAACAGTGTCTAGTTGTCTGGATCATACGAAATAAACACGGTTCAATGAACACAATGTTTGCATGTGGAGGCATCTGTGACAGTTGAAATTTGAAATAAGAGTAGACCATAGCATCGCTATCTGAGCACATGATTCACTGGCTAGTTGGTGTAAAAAAGTAGGACGTTAAATCCCATTTTATTTTATGTGGGCCCCAGTCGCATATTTTACTCGAATATTTGCTTAAGGATGCATTATTCAAGAGCTAAATTTGCCTATTGTAGGTCCTTCTTTAGGCCTTAAATGTTATATAAATTATTAGACATTTATTAACTTGGAAGACCATTATCAACTCTCGATGCAATCAGATGCTCGGGATTTTCAACAAATTTAAATACGATTGGCAGTGGATGATTTAATAAAAGAAGGAAAAAAGAAACCGATTACTTTATTAAATTTATCATTTATATTTGAAAAGAAATATAAATCTAAAAAACAAATTGAGAGAGTATTATTAATGATTTACAGGTCTTAAAGGGCTATGGAATTTTTGCACTTCTTCACACCATTTTCATTAAACTAGCTGAACAATCTAATCCCTTTTGCAAACTTTAGACTTTTTATCTCAAGGCAAATCTTTTTTTTATCATTAAAAAATTCAGCTTCTAAAAAAAATTTAACATGTGTTAAGTAATTTAGATTTTTTTTAATGTGATTAACATTTTTTTTTTATATTAAAGATGTATTATGTAAGTCTGCCTATTACAGGTTTTACTTTTGGCTTCAAATGTCATATAGACTATTATTTAAACATTTATTAACATGACAAGCCTATAATCATCTCTCAGGGATCGGATGGCTAAGATTCAAATCGGTTGTCAAGTACAATAATGAACGCTACATTTTCAAAAAGTCACAAAGTAGCTTGACTGTAATTTTCAGTACATTCATTTTTCATTATCTATTTCTGAACTGAGAGAGAGAGAGAGAGAGACTCCACTCTACACAAACTAGGTCATTTCGGGACTAACACATGGTTCAATTTTATTTCAATAATTCGTTTGCGCGGGAGGGTCTTTAGCAGTGGGAGGAAACCAGAGGTCCCAGAGAAAACCCACGAAGGTTGGACAAGCAACCCTATTCCTTGCCACGTACAACCAGGGAATAGAAACCATGCCAGTTGACTCATTGACAGACCATATGATACAGAGCGAACATGCTAACCAATCGGCCATCCCCCCCCCCCCAAACTGTTATAACAACAACAGCCAGCTTCTTTTATCTAACCTAAATCTTACATAATGCATCTTTAAATTATTTTGATTCTTTAAGAAGTTTAACATTTTTTTTGTGGCTACATCTAGCACATATTGTGAGCAATGCAAATGCGCTTCAGGCAGTATATTTTTAAAAAAAAATGCTGAATGTGCTAAATAAATATCTTTATTATTTAATGATAAAAACATATTGAATAAAAGAATGATGGGGATTTTCTGTTTAATAAACAGAACTAGGAATTTAAATTATAAGTTGATTAAATGTTTAATAGGATTTTCAGATTAAAGATACATTATGAGAGATTAAATAAAGAGTTGGCAGTTCTCACTATAATAGTTAAAAACTAGATAACGTAAAGGGAATTTGCTGAAAATTTCAGTCAAATTGATCCATCCTGAACCGAAAATTTAGCGATTGAATTTTCGGCCTAGCCTCGATCATCATGACGATCATCATGACGATATCTAAAGTTGGTACAATAAAAAACATAGTCTTGATTATCCATTTCATGATTAAATCGAATAAACATCGCAGGCTAGCGATGACATCGAGAGTTGATTATGGTCTGGAAAGTTAATTAATGTCTAATTAAAAATTTAGATAACATTTCAGGCCTAAAGAAAGCCCTGCAATAGGCAGATTTACCTCTTGCATAATGACATGTATCTTTAAAATATTCATTATCTACACAAAACTATTCTTTTTCATTTTTAGCAGCACTTCTTGATAGGGAGAAAATTCCTCGAGATTTTATTTCCTGTTTTATCCCTTGTCTGCTGTGCTGGAAGGGCAGGGTCTGGCACAACAAATGCTTCTAGTTGTTCGGACTGGACATAAAAAACCCTAGGGCCCAATGTATACTATTTGCTGCATGTTACAGAGCGAAATAGGAGTAGCAAATATTTCCCTTCTAGTTGTTCGGATTGGACAAAAAAAACGAACCTAGCGTCCTACATATACTAATAGCTGCATCTTACAGAGCGAATAGGAGTAGCAAAAATTTCCCTTCTAGCACACTACATGACTAATAGTCGTCCTTATTATTAGCCAGATTTGTGCAGAAAAATAATGTGTTAAACCCGATTTCATATCGAAAATAAACAAGTTATTTTTGGCGTCTTGTACGTATAACCTATTAATAATCATTTTTACTGTCTGCTTTTTTTTTTCAGGCATAAAGAAATGGCACCAACTAAATATATGACATTAGAGCAAAAACTCCGGGCTGATCCCAGATTAGCAGAATATTTTTAGATATAAACACATTTATTTTGTGACATATCCACTATTTATAACACAGTACCATTGGTCTCTGATGAAGGATAAAAACATTTATTTTGTACAAACATGGCATATATTTATCTATTAAAACTGTGGTTATATTTCAAAATTAAACCTGCAGGGCTTAGAGTCATGGCAACTCAATCTCTTAAAATGGGATGTGATTTTGATTAAAAGTGTTTCTTATAGTCTGTGCACCAAGGCTTTTGTTTCAATTTTATTAGCCGGTCTTAACTGACTGACAGTGAAATTGACCAGCTTCAGAACTTATCTGTCAGTCATTTTAGATGCCATGAAATTAGCATTTCAATGAATTTAGCACAATAAATATTGTTAAAGTTATAGTTTTTATGTATAGTATATTTAACAATATGGATAATGCGAAAAATTGTCATATCCTTTGGGAAAAAATATCTTGCTGATTCAAATTTGGATTTTATATGATAATTTTAAGAGATTGTAAGTTGTGTTAAATGATGCCCTGAAAGATGTATATGTCCAGCTATTCTATGGTTTTATATAAACTGTGATATTATTTTTGTAAATAAATAAATAAATTATAATTTTTATCCAGTAAAATGATTTTAATGTTTCCCTTTCTAGTCATATTCCTGAAGCAATGGCCCGAGAAGTCCCTCTGTGGCAATTGGTGGATTGACTTCTGAATTCTGATACTTGAGCTTTTGAGTGGGTGTGTCTATTCTTCCCATTCAATCAAATCTCTTCTAAGTACAGCAGCATGGACAGCCCTTGGTTTAATCTGGGGTATTCCCTAAAACTTTGGACAGTGATTTAAGGTATTGTTCGTCTCCAAACAGTATTGTTTACATTGTAGGCGTTTTGATAGCCTCGTTTGTCACGCAATTAGTTTTTCTACAATATTCTGCTATGCACTGGTTAATTGGGCCTAATAAATTTCGTGAGTCTTGAAGTAACGTTATGTAAACATTATTTTGAGCTCTGTTTAAACCCAAATGATATTGTTACACAGTTAGGTATTGGTTGTTAATCGGACTATAGACCAGTCATAATTTGGACAGAGCTTTGCTTTCATTACGGCAGTGTTGAGTGGGATTAAGTCCAATCAAACGAAACACTGCGAGGAGTATGGTTTCTAGTGCGCATCAAGTCAAGTGGCACGTTTTCAAGAAGTAGGGTGATCTAATCAACCTTGTGTGTTTTCTCTAGGGTTTTTGGGTTTCTCCCACTGTCTTTCCACCAACATCAAGGTCAAGATGGTTTGTTTAATTCTCCAGATTACTAACACTAACAAAACTTTTTCAGTTTTACATTTAGTAACATTAAAGATGCATTATGGGGATTCATGCTATAATAGCTGAAAAATAAATAATGCAGAATGAATATATTGAAAATTTCAGTCAAATGACTTTATTCTGAGCTGAGTTATCAGTGTTCAAAGTTTTGATATTCGCGTAGTCACGATTTTTATTCTACCATTGTTACTGTAATAAACGTAGTCTCGATTATCCATTTTTATTGTCGTCGCCCCTGCCCGTCCGTCCACAATTGTTTGTGAACAGTCTACAGGTCACAATTTTTATCCGATTTCAATGAAACTTGAAATATAGGTTTATCACCCTAATATCTCGGTTCCTTTCGATATTGGCATGTATCGGACTGTAACGTCATGGATTATGGCCCCTGATTGTACGAAAAATCACGTTTTTAGCTTGTGAACACTGTAGAGGCCACTATTTTTATCCGATTTGGTTCAAACTTGAAATGTATGCTAAAAACCCACAGATCTCGGTTCCTTTCGATATTCGCGCATATCGGAACGTAAGTTCCTGAATTATGGCCCCCGATTGTACGAAAAAGTCGCGTTTTTAGCTTGTGGACCCTATAGAGGTCATAATTGTTATCCGATTTAAAAAAACGTATTATTACATCACCGTTACCCCTTAAGGACGGCTGAGTTCGACTTTCGTGAAAATCGACCCAAAACTGACAGACAAAATGGCCGCCCTTCGTTCTCAAATAGCGAAAATATGGTATATCAAGGTTGTGGACCCTATAGAGGTCATAATTTTTATCCGATTGTGTTGAAACTTGAAATGTAAGTATATAATCCAAAGATCTTGGTTCCTTTCGATAGTCGCGCATATCGGACCGTAACTTCCTGAATTATGGCCCCTGATTGTACGAAAACTCGCGTTTTCAGCTTGTGGACCCTATATAGATCATAATTTTTATCCGATTTAAAAAAACGTTTTATTATATCGCCGTTACACCCTAAGGACAGCTGAGTTCGAATTTCATGAAAATCGACCCAAAACTGACAGACAAAATGGCCGCCCTTCGTTCTCAAATAGCGTAAAAATATGGTATATCAAGGTTGTGGACCCTATAGACGTCACAATTTTTATCCGATTTTGTTGAAACTTGAAATGTAAGTTTATAACCCAAAGATCTCGGTTCCTTTCGATATTCGCGCATATCGGAATGTAACTTCCTGAATTATGGCCGCCCCTCGTTCTCAAATAGCGTAAAAATATGGTATATCAAGGTTGTGAACCCTATAGAGGTCACAAATTTTATCCGATATTGTTGAACCAAAGATCGAATTGTAATTTTCTGACTTATGGCCCTTGATTGTAGGAAAAATCACTCCCTTTTTAGCTTGTTCTCTATCCATCTCTCGAAAATGTGGGCGTATCCTGCCTGGCAGCCGCTGGTTAAAAAAAAAACTTTGAATATATCACCATTACAGCGTAACGTCGGTTGAGATCGAATCTAGAGGCCACAATTTTGATCCGATTTTGATGAAACTTGAAATACATTTTTATAACCCAAAGATCTTGGTTCCCTTCGATATTCTCGCATATCCAATCGTAACTTCCTGAATTATGGCACTTGAGTGTATGAAAAGTCGCGTTTTGAGTATGTTGTCCCTCTAGAGGTCACAATTTTTATCCGATTTGAAAAACCGTTTGAATATATCACCGTTACAACCTAATCATGGTTAAGTTCAAATTTCGTGAAATTCAGATCAAAAGTGCCGGACAAAATGGCTGCCTCTCGTACGCAATTAGTGTAAATATTCGGTATATCAAGGTTGTGAGCCCTCTAGAGGCCAAAATTTTGATCTGATTTTGATCACAAAGATCTTGGTTTTCTTACGATAATCGCGCATATCTGAACGTAACTTCATGGATTATGGGCCCTGATTGTTCGAAAAATCCCAATTTTAGCTATTGGACCTGCTAGAAGTCACAATTTTTATTCAATTTTAAAAAAATAAAAACGTTTTTGGACTTTCTAGTAGTCGCAATTTTTATCCGATTTTGATGAAACTTAAAATATATCTTTATATCCCAAATATTTCAGACCATTTCGATATTCGCGCATTTCAGCCCATAACTTCCTGGATTATGGCCCCTTATTATACGAAAAATCCCTGTGGGCGTATCTTGACTGGCAACCGCTGGTTAAATTATTAAAAGATAATGGTGATCATGTTTCAATCCATTAAAATTCACTACCATGCGATAATCTAGAGTTGATTATGGTCTTGTTAATAAATGTCTAATTAATAATTTTTATTACATTTGAGGCAAAAAGAAAAAAAAACGACAATAGACAGATTTAGCTCTTGCATACAATCTGATTAAAACACAGATCCTGTTTCGTTTCGTTTTTATGGTTCAAAATTTCGTTTTACTTGTCTTTACTACACTTGGATCTGGAAGCGTTGTTATCATTGACGTGTTCTGGCTGATGTGAGAGATTAGCCAATGAAACGGTCTGTTACGGTGAGCTTTTGGCTATTTGGTGAACGGAACTGTGGGTAAACCACTAGACACCTCAACGCAGATTGATTAATTAATGTCTGACGTCATAGGGTCAAAAGCCGCGGGTTATGAGCTAGGCTTTTGACAAATTGATAATGATTCGATCTTTTGGCAAAAACCATCCCATTCTTCAACAAGCTTTAGAATTGAGTTTGGTGACCGAATGATTTAACGGGTGCAGTGAGTCTTTGATCGTAAGGTCTGTCATTGAGTCAAATGTCGCTTTCTATTCCCCGCTTGAACGTAACAAAGAGTAGGGTCGCCTGTCCAACGTCTTGGGTTTTTCTCCGGGTACTCCTGTTTCCTCCCACACCTAAAGACCCCTACGCGCAGGCGAATTATTGAAATAAACTATATGTTAGTTCCGAAATGACCTAGTTTGTGTCGACAGGATGTTAAACATCTCTCTCTCTCTCTCTCTCTCTCTCTCTCTCTCTCTCTCCAACCCCCCATTCTCTGTTTGGTTGACGATTATAGACCCAAAATAGATAACTAGATAAAATTAAATGACGTATTTCTACTGTGAAACGTCATCAGTAATAATAACATATCCTATAACACAACTGTGCAATATGAGTTTACAGTTTTTGTCACGAGCTTATGGTGTCGTGAATAACTGGACATTTTAAGACGTGGATTTAAAGACATTTTTTACTCAAATATAGAAATGTCAGAAGCTAGTTAATGACGCAGTGTAACGGTAGATTAGAGAGGTTTAGAGAGAAACTATCTCATATTATCGATATTATTTCATCCTATATAAAAACATATCTTGCTTGCTGAAACTCTGTCGAATTCCCGGTTGTACGTGACAAGGAGTAGGGTTGCCTGTCCAACCTCGTGGGTTTTCTTCGGGTCCTCCGGTTTACTCCCACTGCTAAAGACCCCTACGCGCAAGCCAATTATTGAAATAAAATTAAACCATATGTTAGTCCCGATAATGGCCTAGTCTGTGTCGAGTGGACGTTAAACCCCATTTCTCTCACTCTCTTTTTGCTGAAACCCTGGTCGTGAAGCCCTGATCTTACTTGTAAAGTGCTACCTAGTCGTTGGGATGGGACCAAAACCGACGCCCAACAATGTAGAAACTATCTGATATTATCGATATTGTTTCATCCTGTATAAAAAACATATCTTGCTTGCTGAAACTCGGGGATCGCGGTGGCTAAGTGGGTAAGACGCTGGCTCGCTATCCTGGAGGTCGTGTGTTCGATCCCTGCATTGGCCGAGAAAGTTCATCCAGATTTTCCGGCGTGGCTCTCCCTTGACAGTGATACAGGACGGAGGGCTCTCCCTTGACAGTGATACAGGACGGAGGGCCTGACAAGCACAGCTGTCTAGTCGTTCGAATGGGACAAAAAACCGAGGCCTTGAGTACACATTGGCGTGCACGTAAAAGATCACTTGACAATTTGAATTCGAATTCGAAATAGAGTAGGCTAGTTACCTCAGGCTAATCTCGAAAAAAACTATTCACCTAAAGATGGTTCAATTTCGTTCATTCAAACTTGTCCACATTCGGCATTATCTGCCGACAATATGTTTAAAATAGATCAGCGTCACATATATTATTTGCAATATTCTCTTGATGGTGGAGAGTTGGATTGGCCGAATGGTTAGCGCGAGCGCGTTGAATCATAAGATCTGTCATTGAGTCAACTGGCGTGGTTTCGATTCCCCGGTTGTCCGTCCAACCTCATGGGTTTTCTCCCGGTCCTTCGGTTTCCTCTCACTGCTAAAAACCCTACGCGCAAGAGAAATATTAAAAAAAATTAAACCATATGTTAGTCCCGACCTAGTTTGTGTCGAGTGGACGCTAAACCCTCTCTCTCTCCCTCTCTCTCTCTCTCTCTCTCTCTCTTGGAATCCAAGCCGGGGATTATCTACCCTTAATATTTTAGTTTCATTTTCCTAATTAAATTGGGTATATTTTAGCGCGGATTAAACTGCGAAAAAAAAGATATTGTTCGAAAATGCAAATAACGATGAGTAGCTCGAAGATTATATAAATAAAATACACACGAGTTGGTTTATTGATCCAGTATGAATAGGATAAAAACAGATTAAACATGTTCCATTAACAAATTGGTAAAAAATAACCTAATATTCTTTTTCAAATGTTATTAAAATTTCTGTTTTAATACAAAATGGTCAACTTACCCTTTGCGGTGAAGGAGATATTGGGTCTAATAAACGATTGACGTCATAGATAACAAAGTAGAGTGACGTAACTTCCGGTGGTAACTCACACGTTTGAATATAGAACTAAATGGCTTGAACTGATACTTGAACATCATGCGGAAATGAAGACGGGCATAAGATCATTTCCAGTGAACTTTAATCTTCTGAAGTTCTAAATATAGGCCCACGTCACATAAATTATGGCTGTTAAAGATGCATTATTCCAGAGATACATATGCCTATTGCAGGCCTGTCTTTAGGCCTTAAATGT